AGCACCAAAACCGAAGCGGCAGACGCACAGGCGCTGCATCGGGAAGACGCGCAATGATGACGCGCGTGGCCATGGCGTCACCTCACGTTAGCCACACCAATCGCAGCCTCGTTGGCTGCGCAGTTTTCTCGACCTCGCCCGATTTGACTTAATCAACACGACCAAATTTCTTCTAAACGGACGCAAACCTGGTATGCTTATTGACGGCACGCAAGACCACGACCTCAACAAGCAAAGGGACTAACTATATTGGTCAAAATTTGGCAACTTGATAACGATAGACAAACAGAATCGAGGACGGGGCCGACCACGGCATAATAGCGGAAAGCCGTCCTCGGAAGAACTATTTTTAAGGACGAGCAACTGGAGTAAAGAAATAACGGTAGGATAGATTTTAGAAATGGACATAAGGAATATTCCTTTGGATATTCTTATTTGTACTTTTTAGGGTTTCTTGGAAATACCCCTTATAAATAGGAAGAGATAGAGAACAAAAGGGGGATCTTCACTTTCTGATAAGAACACATTGTAAAAGGTTGACTAGAAGGAATATACAAAAGTTGTCTTGTTCACTGATTTTCCTATCCAAGCACGCGTTGTTTAATCTTTATTCACAAGATCCAAAGATTCCTTATCTATCTTCACTTCTCATCTTTCCACGTTGGTGTCAGGAGAAAGAACCATCCAAATCATATAATAATTGGGTGGTAGATTCTTTCTTATTACATTTATTGCCATTATCTATATTTATTGCATGTTCATGTTATAATATTTATTGGTAATCATTGAGTATATATCGGCTATTTACTGCTCTCAAGCGTTGTTCATCTTATCAACTTTCTACAATATTTGATGTAGAATTTATTATATTTAACTAAGATCATCCTTCATTTCTTCATTAATTAGTTTAACAAAAGGCTTAACACTTTTTTGTCAAACAATAATGATAAAGGAGAAGTAAGTGAGCTGCAACATACTGAAATGATTGAAACAGATAATCATGAGGCAATTTTAATCCAAGAACAAGAGAACCAAGCCATTGGTGATCAAGAAACTTTCAGCCCTGATGGCTCTTTACCAGAAAGCAGTACCTCTAGTGAACAAGATTTCTTACCAGTACAGTTATACAGTGTGCCCTTTTTTCGAGCACGAACAGCTGAACTATGCGCATGGACAAGGAAATAAAGCTGCTGAAACTGTTAAGTTAATGAAGGAAGCTGACGAAGATGAGCATAAAGACCATATGCAGATTATTGATTTTGAAGAACAATGTGCTGGTGTAGAAACTCAGATTGATCAAATTTCCAAGAATTGCAACCTACAAATGCAATGTAATGATGAAAATGAGCATTTCAAGGAGAACGATCAAGCAAATTCCTGCAATGAGAAGGCAACATCAGAACACAGCCCCTGCAGAACTTACACTATGGTCGTGCAAAACGTAGCTGCCTCTGCGGTAAAAAACCTCTCAATAGATGATCAGCATTCTGATATGATTGAGCCCAATAATCATGAGGGGAATCTAATTCATGAACAAGAGAACCAATCTATGGGTGATAAAGGAATTATCAACCCCGATGGTTCTTTACCGGAAAGCAGCACTTCTAGTGAGCAAGCATTCTTACCAATACAGTTATACAGTGTGCCTGGTTTTGAGCATGAACTGCAAGCTGTTGAAACTATTGATCTAATGCAGCCAGCTTATAAAGATGAGGATGAAGGCCAAATGCAGATTATGAATTTTGAAGAGCAATGTGTTGATGCAGAAACTCAGATCGATCAATTTGCCAAGAAATGCAACCTACAAATGCAATTTAGTGATAAACACGAGCATTCTACAGAGAATGATCAAGAAAATTCATGCTGTGAGGAGGCAACATCAGAAAACAACCCCTGCAGAACTTACAGCATGATTGTGCAAAACTTGGCAGCCTCTGCAATCAGAAATGCCTCAATAGATGATCAACATTCTGCTGAAGTGGTTCAAGTGATAAAGGAAACAAATGCAACGGATATCACACCTGGTGGAGAGCAGAGCCCAGAAGCAGAGCATTCACCTATCCGGTTTGTTGAGAAACAAAGCTTTGAACGCAATTATCAAGGAACTGGTTTAGAGGAAGACAAAGAGACCTCAGAGTCGCTAGCTGTGAACATTGAGGCAGTGGAGAAGGATCTAGAAGCGCGTAGCAGAGAAGCAGAGGATGAAGTGGCGGAGAGTGTTTTTGTGGATAAAGAAGAAGATGATGGCTACGATAACGACATAGACAAAGAAGATGTTGCAGAGGAAATTGCAGATGACATCTCGGAAACTCCTCCGAGCAATCCAACATTGAAAAAATTTGGCCAGCTGACTCAAACCAGGAACTTTTATTGGAGCTCAAAGAGAAAAAGGTGAAAGAAGAGGAAGAAGGAATGAAAATTGAAGATGATGAGACATGCTGCAACTCCAAAAGCACTCAGAATGAGTTCGACATAACAAGTTGCCAACAAAGCAATGATGGCAAAGATGATTCTGCAGTGAATTTTACAAAGAGTTAGGGGTAGCAATTTGAGCTCAAACCCATTTAACCCGCCCAGAGATTAATGGGTTGGGTTACAAATATTTTAGCTCATGGGTCAATTTGGGCTGAGCCCAAATTAACCCATTATATTTTATAGCCCATTCTGACCCATTAAGCAGCCCAAATACAACCCATGAAACTCACTCAAAACAAAAAGGTATCTCAACCCAACTTATATAGTTGCCCCAATTTTACTTTTTTTTGTATTTTCAATTTTATATTCTTTTGTTTTTCTGCAC